TTTAACCAGGTGATTAAATTTCACCTAATTAACAACAGGTTCTTTTAATTTTTTAAAAGTTTGCCGGAAATGCGGTTAAATTTTTTTCAAATAATTTAATTGAATTAGTGTTTTAGTACTGCTGCGACAATATGCAGTGTGATTGTAATACCTCTCCTGTACTACTATATTCAAGTGATACAAACAACACTTACCGATGAGGTTGAATTTTGCCGGCAGCGCTCTGGCAGAATGTGGCAGGAATTTATTTTCACTGAAGAGGTCAGCTTCTTACTTTTTTTATCCTGTAAATTTCAAAAATAAGAAAAATGCGAAAAATTCTTTGGAAAAAGTAACGAAGACAGCGTTAGAAAGAAAGATGTTTGGCGTACCTCTTCGCGACAACATAAACTGTCAGACTCTCTTTCGGGCTGATCGGTGAGCAGCACATCACAGCGAACATGCAAGGAAGTAAAATTCAATGCGCAGGGCATGTAGCTCGATATGCCTGCAAGCGGTAGACATCGCGCATTAGTGACTGGTGCCCAGAGAAAGTGAACGAACGCATAGATAATTTTTTAGAACTCCAGTATTTTCGAGAAGTCTCACCATCGCATACCCATAACAGTACTCTGCAGAAGCAAATGTATGTGCATCGTTCTGCCGACGATTACTTATGGTTTTCAGACACTCGGTCTAAGACAACGACGCTTTCGGCGTGGTCGACGTCAAACAAGTCCAGAGTACTACGTAGCAACCGCAAAAGAGGAACTGGCAACAGCAAGTCTTTCCTATGATCAGCCTGATTTTCTGCCTGCATCGCCGGGTGTGCATCCTCCAGCTCCAGAGCCTGAATGCTGCAGTTGCGGAATTGGCGAAGCTGGACCAGTAGGCCGACCCGGAATCCCCGGGGATCCAGGTTTGTTCTGTGCATCTGAGCGAAATCTGGCGAGAGATCGCATAGTTTTCTGTTTTTAACGTTCTTATCAATTGCCTGCTTTGTCTTCCGTGATTATAACGGGTAATGGGTAATAAGGAGTTCGCTGGGGCCTAATTTTTTTTTTTTTTCATTATTGGTCCGTGAAGCTACAAAAAACTGTTCGGGCGCTTACGACGCAGTGTGAAAGTAAGCTGCCACTTTCAGATAAATGTTTGGATTATATGTGTGAAGGATAAGAGATGAACAAAACAGAAAAAAATGAAGAGTTCGCCAGATGGACCAATGGTGAGAAGGAACGCAATAGCGAAAAAACAGCTGAACAAGTTTTCTGAGGGACAGTTACGAGATTCCTACCCAGTAATAGAGATTTTATCTATTCGGTGAGATGCGGTAAAATAGCAGAGATCCCTTAATTGAGGCACAGGATATTCACTTTTATATAATCATAACTGTGGTGAACTTGCGCTTTCCAATAACTGGCTCTTATTCAGCCACTTTTTAATAATTTCGTTTATGTGATATAGCACCGTTTAAACTTCAAAAAAAAAAAGTTCTGAAATACATCGAACTTATTAGATCAAACATCTTTCAGGCTACGATGGTGCGCCAGGTGAGGATGGCCGCCCAGGTCCAGATGCGATGGAGGGAGTAGATTATCGGCTACAGGAATGGTGTTTCGATTGCCCACCCGCACCAACCGGACCTCCCGGTCCTGCGGGACCCAAAGGTGCCGTTGGTTCGCCTGGTTCGGAAGGCTCCGCTGGAAAAGATGGGGCTGATGGTGCGTTCTTTTTTCTCGCACTGAAATTTACCTGTCACTTCGTAGTATTGTTTGACATCTTGAAAATACTGCCTTAGGGATTTAGACTCCGCAAATGCGGTACCAGACTGCACCGTAAAGAGTCATTTTTGGAATTTTTTGATTTGATAATCGGAATGAAACAACCAATCCCTCTACGATTCTTTCATTCGTTTCGATGGTAAATTGGTGCTGGCACATGCCGGGGAGGCAGAACTGTTATGTCTGTGTTCAAACAACGCTTGAAAGAGGAAAACACGGACAGCCTGCTGACGAGTAGCAATGCAAGCACTGTGATACAACATCTAAGCTTGTATCGGTGAACATCGCTGAGCGATCTGTGTTTCATCCTTC